GCGTTGCGAAATTCGCGTTACGAAAATATCCATGTTCGCGTTGCGAATTTGTTGGTTATTTTGGCAAATCCAAAAAAAGTTGGTTAAAATCGTATATTATAAAATATTTTCGGTCACTAAAATTATTTTCTCTTTAGATTTTTAGGGGGCGACTGCCCCCATCTGCTCCTACTAGGTCCATCCCTGATGTCTAGGTTTGGATCTATGTTCAAGGTTCAATCTCTCTGTGTAATAATTTTCTGATATGTACATATAGAGACGGAGTTAGGAAGAAAGTTCGAGAACGAAATTATGATCAAATGTCTAAGAGATCAAGTAACTGTAAATGAGATAGATCGTGAGCTATTCGAGATCGATTCGGTCAAAGTTCGATAAATACTCGACTCAAATGTACTCAATTCGAGCTCTGGCTCAACTTGATTCTTGACGTCTCGAAACGAGCTACTTGATCTCGACTTGAAAAGCTCGTGAGCAGCTCAAAAATATAATATATTAAGATTTTATTTTTTTAAACAAATTTATTAATAACATTAACATTTATATGTTGTTTTTTTTAAATGTAATATAAGGTTTTCATGTATTTAAGGTTAAAGTTTGAGTTTGAATTTGAGGGTTAAATCCAATTAAGTTTAAGATTTTTTTTCATTTCAAGCTTTTTTGAGCTTCAGTTCATGGTTTTGAGTTTTAGTCTAGCTTAAAAATTTTAGCCTCTCAAGTTTTCGAGTCTAGCTTAAAAATTTCAGGCTCACGAATTTTCGAGTCGAGTCGAACTCTATTTTAGAATTTTCAAGTTGAGTCGAGCTTAACAATACTCAAACTCAACTCGGCTAGTTTACAATTTAATTGTAAATGTATTTGATTATTCAATTTAACTTGATATTTCAATATTCTTTTTTTTAAAAGGTATGAATTGTAAAATAAATGCCTAAAAAAATCACATTACTCCCACCTACTACTCCATCATGCACAACAGGTAAACCTAGTTTAATGAGGTTGCCATCTTTTTTTACATGTACATTTTGCATTTAGTATGTGATACTGTTCACCAAAACACAAACAATTAACTAATTTTATGCTTATTAATATACTGTTTGTTTTGGATAAACTATGTATTTAGTCACATACCTATTCTCATGGTTCCACTTTGGTCACCTAACTATTTTTTTAAATCATAACTAACATTACATTTTGATTCCGTTTTGATCACCAAAAACACAAGTAATTAACTAATTTTTTGAATTAAATTTTGTGGGCAGTTGTTTGAGTTAGGGGACAAGTGTATAGGGAAGTATGATGAAAGTGTAAGGGTGGTGAAAGGGTACTATCCGTCGGTGAGTGGGTTCAAAGATGAGCTGTTGTGGGCAGCTTTGTGGCTATACAAAGCCACCGACAATGAGGCTTATTTGAGTTATGCTTTAGACAAGGCAAATGAATTTGGTGGGATCACTTGGTCCATGAACGAGTTCAGTTGGGATGTCAAATTTTCTGGTCTCCAGATCATTGCTTCAATGGTAACATAAAGTTCCATATTTTTAAGTTCATGTTCGGTTCATTCGATTATCGTGAGCGTTGTGTTGATGATACGAAAGTTTAGTTTCCGGTCGATTTCGGTAACATTTCATTATGTGTATGCAGTTGGTGGTGGAAGAAAAGCATACGAACCGGCATCCAAGCTTGTATTGGAACAATATGGTTCAAAGGCCTTGTACTATTTGTGTGCTTGCCTTAAAAAGAGCAACGCGAGTAACGTGAGACGCACCCCGGGAGGTCTGTTGTACGTCCGGCAATGGAACAACATGCAATACGTATCGAACTCATCATTTCTTCTAACAGTATACACCGATCATCTCCGAGCATCAAATCGACGACTGTTATGCGACTGTGGCGAGTTAGGACCAGAAGAAGTCCTCGCGTTTACGATATCCCAAGTCGATTACATCTTGGGAGCAAATCCGAAGGCCACGAGTTACTTGGTCAGATACGGTTCAAGGTACCCTCAAAGGATTCACCATAGAGGAGGATCAATTGAATCCCATGGAGAGAACAAGGGATTCATAGGGTGCACTCAAGGGTATGATAATTGGTTTCACAGAAAAGGACCGAACCCCAATGTTGTTGTGGGGGCACTTATCGGAGGGCCCAATGAGAAGGATGAATTCAGTGATGATAGGAGAGTTTCATGCAAACCGAGGCTTGCACCTATAATACAGCAAGCCTTGTTGGGGTTTTGGCCAAATTGCATGGCTTAGAAGATGATGGAGTCTTCAACAGTCCTTCGATTGCTTCTAGTTAAAGTCCCCCCAAAACTCGATTTCTCAAATGTTGTATACACAGGAAAAGATTGAATTGTTCCCCCCCCCCCCACAGATTCAGAGACATCCTTGAGTTTTGTCTGAATCTAAATCTCCTTTTGATATGATATACAATCTCCAATGTTAGTTTGGTACATCCAAAGATTCGGAGACCTACCATTAATGTTTTGTTATTAATAATGGTCGGAAGAAAGTAGAGCAAGTGAACAAAGCCACGCCATTTGGGTGTTCTTTTTAGGGTAAACCATATGTTTAGTACCTAAACTATTACTTCAGTTTCATTTTGGTACCCAAACTTTATTTTGTTTCAAAATCATATTTAACGTTTAATTTATATTTCATTTTGGTACCTTGTCGTTAAGAATTTAACGAAGATGTTTCCATGTCATCATAAGGTGATACCACATTATCATTGAAAAAGAATAACATGTCATGTCAACAATTCTATTAATTTTTTAAGAGTGGGATACACAAATGAGACCTAAACTAAACATTAGATATGATTTTTAAACAAAATAAAGTTTGAGTACCAAAATAGAACAAAAGTAATATTTAGATGCTAAATGTGCAGTTTACTCTTATTTTATTCATTAATTTTTGAAATATTATATGAATAGACCATATGCCCCATTTTAGGAAATTTAACTAGACAATGAAAGAAATGATGTTTTTTTTATAAGGTACTGTCTATTTAAAATATTTTTTAATCTATTAATAATGTACATATACCTTAACGCAACTATTCGAATTTAAATCTTCTACACAGATCGACATTCTATTTTGTTACTTTATATATACATTTAGACATAATAGTAATATAATATTTCATATAGTTACACTCATGTCATTTAGGTCGTAAGGCAAGACAAGCATATTCAATCGTTCTTGTGATCAAATAACTTTATTTTTTTTTCATATGTATGATTTAATCATATCCCGTTTATTTAAGCATATAAACATGTCAAATATAAACATATAATCACTTTAGTATGTAATTCATATCTCAATCCTATCATATAAGTGCATAAATATGTTTTCACATTGAAAATAAAGCAGTCAGAGGGCAAATTAAGCCTATGGTAACACAAACACCATTTAGCTGAAACATTATATAAGCCATCATCTATTATGCATGATATATACATATAACATATATACAAATAGATAAATTAAGCATATTCATATACATAAAAGAAAAACAAGGAACTGTACCTGCCGATGGAATCTCCTGCAAATGAATGATGGAAACGCCGGGGAGGTGTCAGGAAGCAAATTAACTAAATCCTGCTGATTGAGAATGAAGGGTATTGAAGAAGAAGATAAGAAAGGGAAAGGAACAAGAGAGAAGGAGAAGATTAGGAGAAAAGTATTTTGATAACCAATTTCATGAGTCTATTACAAAATTAAATCACTGCAGCAAGCGTAGTCACCCAACACGTTTGGCTCTCCTTTTACGCTACCGTTTTATTAACTTCAACTGCGTTTAGCTGCCGACCGACCTTTGACCTCGCTGAACATGTTGACTTGGCAGCTCAAATGATCTCGCATCCATAACAGGAGGCATGAATCGGGCGGTGGAAAATGCAGAGTGAATGGCAGTCGAAAGAGGAAGGAGCAAGCGTTTTTTGTTTGGGACGAGATTTAAAAAAGAAAAGAAAAGAAAAGAAAGAGATAATTTTGGGTTTCGCTTAATGAAGTTAAGGCCTTAGAGAGGTCCAATTATAAAAAATATATATATATATAGAATTATTAAAAAATAAAATATAGAAAATTATGAATATTGTAAAATATTATAAATTATAAAAATTAAAAGTGATGAAAATTATCAGAAATTTTAAAAGTTGTAAATTTCTAAATAATTTATATTTTTTATATTTAGAATTTAGAATTTTTTTTGTTTTATATATTATATACATTTTAGGTTTTATATAATTTTTAATTTTCAGGTGATAATGTGGAAAAATACGGGGTGTTCAAATGGTTAATTCGGTCACCAACCGAACTAAATTTTCACTAACTGAACCTTTTTTTCTTTAACCTTTATTCGAACTGATTTTTTTTTGAAAATATTAACCGAACCAAATAAAGATTGGTTATTTCGTCCGGTTAATCGAATTAACCGAAATTTTTTGATAATTTTTTTAATTAGATTAATTTGAGTATAATAGAATATTTTTTTATTTGGGTTAAAATTTAATTAGGTATTGATAATTCAATGAGTCTTGTATGGTTAAAAAATAATTGAGATTTAATTTTTAATGAGTTTGGGCTTAAAATATGTATTTAATATATATAATATATTTAATAATTTCAGTTAATTTGGTTAATTAATTAATTCGAACCGAATTAACCGTTAATTGAATATTAAAAAAAATATTAACCGTTCCCCGATTGAACTAATTCGATTCGGTTGGTTAATTCGGTTAAAACAAAAAATGAACACCGCTGAAAAAATATCATAGTGCCATGTCATTACACCTTAACACCGTTACCAAAAAGGAGGCCAAAGTGTGATAGAATACAAATTTATGTATTAATGTAGACCAAAAATAGAATTTAAGTACTAACATGAAAAAAGTTAACTAATTCAGGTACCAAAAAGTGAGGCAGGTGAAGTGGTTCAACCATATTTTGTGTTAATAACAAAGCCAGTTACCTACTTATAAAGTAAGCCAGAAAACAGAAATATAACAGCACACAACAATCACATGCACTCTTATTTATTAGCTCCTAATACACAACATTAACGGTATTTTACATGCTCCAGTCAAAATACAACACCAAATCAACAAGCAGATTGCAGTTTTCACAATGTCCAATAACCTTGCCACTGCAAACTATGTTTGCTTATTTAGGCTAACCAGTGCCATACAATACATACACAGTCGTATACACCAAACGTACATAGTCGAAACCGGAAGTGGAAGGGACAGGGTTCTATTTGTGGAATGCCGGCTCTTACTGCTGAACAACACATTCTTGCGTCCCGGCCACCATGGTGCGGTGGGAGCGTTTGGGGATGGTGTTCTTTTCTTCAATAGGATCCTTAAGCATAGTATCAGCAGTGTTTTCGATGCTATCTTCGCCATTGGCAATGGCTTCGAAGATAAGTTCCTTCACTTCACAGAACCTCTCATCAGAGAGAGACACCTCAGCGAGAAGCCTCCAAGCATTTTCATCGGATGCCTCATCATAGTCCTTCCTCCTTTTTAACACCATGTGGCCGCTAATTTCCCATACAGCCGGGTTCACCTGGGTGTCCAGAAGCTCCTGACTCACTTCCCCAAGAGCTTGTTTCTCAGCATAGCACTGTTGGGTCAATAGGCAGATTGGAAATTCAATGGTAAGAACTAGCAGCATCATGTAGGTAATTAAGAAGTATCGATTAACTTAGTTTATTTCTTACCTGTGGAAGGAGAAAGATCCGCTTTCCACAATCAGAGATGAGGACATTATATGGTATGTTGTTCTCTTGAAGGCAAATGCAGGCATCGGAGACAGTGTTGGACAAGTCCTGAAGAGTGTCGCCACCCTCAAAGACAAGACCCCTGACCGGATAGTTTAAAAGCTCTGAGATGATCACTTCATCATTTGAAGTGGCTATCTTCTTGGTGGGAGCTTTCTCGATGGGGAAAGGCACAGCCAAGTAGTAAGCCTGCAACGATCGGAATAGATAAGTCACCTAAACCATAACCATACCCAACAGATAGATATATCCTGATGGAACAAACTAGGATGCTAGTACCTGGAAGTGAAGGTGATTGATTGTAGCAAACGCACCCAAACTGTTGTAACCCAATCTGAAATACGGATTCCTGACTTCAACTGCCATATACAGTGCAAGCAAGAAGCTCTCACGATCGATCCTCTGAGGCAAGCATTCCAGGATTCGAGGGATCAACAGAACATGTCCATATTCAATAGGACTGACCTGTCAAATTGAAAGGGAACAATGTTAATCCTACGAGGCTAAGACTCTTGCTAAGCTAGTTATTCTATAGTTTGAATATGTAGACTTAAAATACATTTATGGCAACAACACTCGGAGCATTCTCAACATCAATGTGAGCACTTGGGTAGAACTGAACTTCACCATTTTCACTCGCTTCAAACTGGAAGAGAACCTCTTCTTGCCCGACCTTGGTGAAATTGAACTTGTTCCCATCAAAGGGCTGGAGAACCTTATCAACACGGAATTCAGTCGGCCTCTTCTTAAGGTGGCGGCCCTCATTCAGCTGAGCAATGAAGCCATATTCACCAGGAATCACCTAAACAACTCAGTTAACCATAAAATTTCAGCTTATTTGCAGGTAAACAATTGAAGCAAGGAAATAGGAAAGGAGCCCAAATTCGACCTTGGTTTCGCAGGCAGTAACATCATAACGAAAGAGTCCTCTTTGCATGCGATCTTCCCACTATCATAAAACCACAAAGTACATTTCAACCTCACTATTTGTATGATAAAACGATTATCAATTATCACAATGATCTTATTGCTAATAGCAAAAGTTACCTCCCCAAGAATGAGTGAGTCAAGAAAAGCAACAGGGGGTTCTTTCTCCTCAATTGCAAGCACGTCGTTTTCAGCATCAATCTTATTCAGCTTCTTGAAAGCATATAACGGAAGCTTTGCTCCTATAAACCAAAACCCAGTTCAAGTTAAAACCTGAATTCTTCAAACAAACAAGGTTTAAATACTAAATTTAACGAATACCTGTAATGCAGCAGCTCCTAAGGCAATTCTTTCCACACCCGCCACTACGGCGAGCAGTCTCTTCCGTCTCATCCTTTTGGTAATTCGAAACAACAGTGGGAACCCTCTTAATCCTGAGCATCATCTTGCTAATTCTTATTTTTTACGCGCAATTTATTCCTTACGAGCGATCTAAATAAGCTTTTCTGATAATTTTTTTTCACTTTTTTTTTCCTTCTAAGTATACTAGAAGCTAGTTATAGTAACTACTGAAACTCTAAAAGAAAAGACCACCACCAGCAAGGAAAAGGAGATCGGAAGGACTACCGCCTTCAGAAGGCAAAGCTCCGCGCCCACCGTGCGGCGAAGGGTTGCTCTCTATCACACAACTCTTACGTCGTACAGTTCGGGCATGACTAAGAGGCCGGTGAACTCTGTGTATAGCCGTGATGTCGACAATTTGTCAACCCAGGGTATTACCCCCCAAAAACGAAAAATCCACAATTCAAAAACACCTGTAAACTAATTTTATCAAACACCCAACCTCTTTAGCTTTAAAAAAGAAGGGGGAAAATGACCAGGTTTGCTAAAGAGAAACATAAAGAAAAACCCCAAAGCTCAAAAACATTTTTTTTCCTGATATTCTTGGTGAAGGGAAGCAGAAGAAGAAAAGGCGATATATAGATAAGAGGGGAGTGAAGGAGAAGGCGGGTGGGGGTAGGTTTTCTTTTGGAAGGATTGAAGGTATACAGTTGTGAGAAGTTGGAACTATACAATAAAGTAAACAGAGCTGGTGGCCCTCGTGCCTTCTTCAGAGTTAGCCTTTTTTTTTTTTTTGGGATAAAGACAATTACTCGACACATGAACACGAAAACGAAAGGAAGAGAGAGTGGAAATGTTTCCCGTTATTTTTCTTTTTTTCTAATTCATCCGTACGATACGAGGCTCAGATGGGTGATAAGGAGTTTGCCGGAGATGGTGAGCTCCGGGAGTCGGAACCCAAGTCCGGCCGTACGGAAGGGAAGGATGTAGGCTATGATGGCTCCGGTCTGGTTGGCCCCTGCCAGAATTGAAATTGGATTAGTTTTGTTTAATTAAAATGGTTAATTTAAAAAAAAAGAAGGGTGATGTAAAAGGAATTAAAGAAAAGATTCAAAGCGAATCCAAATATGTTGGGAAAGTGAAGGGCTAATTATAATAATATTATCTCAATCCACTGACGTCTGAAATTAAAAACAAGAAGAAAAAAAACACTGGCGTCGGAAACGGGGTTGGTCAAATTTGGATGCTACTCCCCCCACCAACAAATTATAATATATTAATTTGATATTAATTGAATCAATATTCCGTGTTAGGATCAACAAATTACTACTTTTTCCTCATACTTAGGATATACTAAGTTATTATTATCTAGAAATTTAAAAAAAATCATGTTATGTTGGGTGTTATATTACATTAATGATTTATTTCTTAAATAATCTAATTTAAATTGAATTAGTATCTTTTGAATAGTTTAAACCAATTACAATATAATATTTGTTTTAAAAAAATTTAATTTATTATTATTTACATATATCTTGCAGATTTAGATATTCAGACTCAGGTCTTTTAAAGATAACAACATTTTTTTTATCAATGAAGTTACTTAATTTAAATTAATTATATATTTGATGTGTTTTATTAAATTTAAGTTAAAATTTAGTGTTTATATTATATTTTATTGTAGCTTTTTTTTATAAGCAAGAACCAAATATATTTCTCAATTTCGAATATCAACGACTGTAATGTATTTGAGTTTTTATTGTTAAACGATAAAATATTTGAAATAGTATTTGAGTTTTTATTGTTAAACGATAAAGTATTTGAAATAGATACTACCTAGTGGTAGATCCAAAAACTTAAGAATGAGGCCCAAAATTTTAATTTTTTTAAATAATGTGAATACAAAATATTTTACTTTTTTATTTTTTCCCTCAACATATTAAATTAAACTTAACTATTTTTTTCAAAATAATAGGATACACTTGATCCCTACGAGGGCTTAGTGCATCCACCTTGACTAATCTAAACCGACCCTATAACACGCCAACAATTTCAATAAGTGACTAAAATGTAAAATTTGAAAGTTGGTGACTAAAGTATAAAATTAGAAAAGTTTAAGGATATAAAGTGTAATTTTGAAAAAATTGTATATATTTTTTAGTTTACCTCGGAAGAAGGATTTTTATGTATGCCAATTTTCGATACGAAATTTGTAAAAAAACACTATTAATTGGTAAAATTTGGTAAAATAATCGGATATAAGACGGAAATTTTCCATCAATAAGACAAAACTATATCAATAATTGGTTGAGTGACAGGTTTAGTATTAAAGAAATATAAAAACATAAATTATATCAATAATTTTTTAATATAATAACTAGTATATTTATCAACGTTTAAATTTGCATCCCAATTGAAAATTTATTATTTCTTCGTTCTATAATGAATTTTAATAAATTAAGTCTTTTCATATAAATTATTTTTTATCATTCAAATTATAAATGTAATAAAATTTATTTCTTAGTCATTTTAAAAATAATAAAATTTACATCAATATAATAATATAAATTTAGTTTTAATATCTTAAAATTTTATAATTTTGTTATATTTTCGGAGACCTCTATGCAGGGATGGATTTAGGATTTTAAGTTAGGGGTGCAAACTTGAAGTTATAAAATTTCATGGGGACGAACTTGAATTTATAAAATTTTAGGGGTCGAAAACATTTTTTCAATAGAAAAAATCTAAAATATATGGCGATTTTAGATTTTTAGGGGGCAACCACCCTCACCCGCTCTCCCGTAGGTCGATCCATGATCTATGCAACCTATAGATTCCCTCTCTCCCAGCTAGGGATGTAAATGAGATAAGATATATTGCGAGCTACTTGAGGTTGATTCAGTCAAAACTCAGTCAACACTCAAATTGAATAAATTCGACTCGAGCTTGAGCTTAAACTCAATTCGAATTCTTAACGAATCGAAGTGAGCTATTTAATATTTGATTCGAAAAACTCACAAGCAACCCAAAACAAATAATATATTAAAGTTTTAAAATTTTCAAAATTAAATTATTAATAATATTAACATTTACATGTTTTTCTAATACAATATAAGACTTTCATGTACTTAAGGTTCATGTTCAAACTCGAGTTTGAGCTTCAATCGAGCTAAGTCTGAAAATGTTTCGAGTTCGAGTCGAGCTTCAATTTTCTTATTTCCAGACTAGCTTGAAAATTTTAAACTAAGGAGCTTTCGAGACAAGTCGAGTCATAATTTTTAATTCAAGATCGAATCGAACTTGACAATTTTAAGTTCACGAGTTTTTGAGTCGAGCCCAACTCAATTTTAAGCTTTTTCGAATCGAGTTGAGTTCTAATTAACTTGTTTTACAGCCCTACCCTCAAGACGTCCGCATAAATATCTCATTTCATTAGTCTCTTAGTAACTTTTTTTCAAATTAGTCACAATATGCTACTGAATTTGTTTATCTTGTTAGCTTATAAGAGTCAATATGTCATCAACAAAACTACAATTTAGGAAATTTCTTTCACATGGCTCAATGACACAAATACCCAACATTCATTCTTTCAAGAATCTATTCAATTGTTTGGTCCCTCCCAAAACTTGTCTTTACTCATTACCACATGATATTCTAATCCATATATATCAAATTTGGTACTCATGTTTCATCTTATTATTTATTTTAAATATTTATGTTATGTGTGAGTTTTAGCGTAGGTTAACATTGCAATGGATATGTAATTAACTATGATTAGTTTATATCATAAGAAAAATGTTTATGTTTTTTTTATGAGAAACCACTTTAGCTCGTGTCAAAGATGGCGGGTGAATGAGAAGTCACAATTATTATTTTAATTATTCATAGTAGAGGACAAGAAAAATAACTATAACAAACACTTATTTCGTGCATTTCGGGAAGATGACATACAATTGGCAATTTTTTTATGGGGGTGTTGAAAAAAATTATTGGTTTCTGTCGGGTTTTGTTAAAATTATTTCTAGAGATAAGATGAATGTCAAAGTATCCATAGGAGGTCGTCACGAACACCATACATCTTCGAGAAGACACGACGATTATAGTTGGTTCTTTGTCTTTTCATTTTGAAAGTTTTGACACTCTAATTTGATGAACAATCGAGAAGATACTCATTTTTTTCATTTAAATATTATTTATATTATTATTATTATTATTATTATTATTTTATTATTAATAAATATTATTACTGGCCTAAATCAGACTGGACCGGCCCAGTTACAAAGGACCCAACTGGCCCAAACCCATCAGGAAACCCTAAAACCAATTTAGGGTTTTAATATCATCATCCAGCCGCCTCAGCATCATAGCCGTTGGATCTGAGAGATCCAACGGCCCCCACACATCCAGCACAAACCCTAGGGTGATGATACCCTAGGGACCACGCGGTCGCCGCAGCTGCTCCCACCATCTCCACCGCTGCCACGTCTCGTCGAAGGCTTCCAGAAGAGCCACTCCAGCCGCACACGTCTCCCCCAAATGGTGAGTCACCACTGGAAGTCCGGTGACTCACCGAAGAACCCCTTTTGGACCGGTCCGAAGCCATCACTGGTGGTGGCTATAAAAGCCACCGAGCCCCCTGCCAACAAAAAAAGGAGGGAGGAAGAACGGAGAACAAAAAAAAAGAGCAACCACAACAGCCACAGATAAACAAACCCGAGAGCAAAGATACAAAAATAGAGACCAACTCACAACAACCAGCAACCATAAACCCAAAAATAAGCAAGGAGAAGACGGAGAGATACTTACTGCAACATCACCGAAGCCCTCACATGTCATCGGAAACCTTCGAAAACCGAAGGTATTTTTATAGATTTGCTCTGATCGGGAATGTTTTAAGGGAAACGGTCATCGGGACCATCAATAGGATGGTCCGATCTATCTTTAGGTGTAAAAAAATTTTTCCCGGCCACCGGATGCGGTGGCCGGCGGCGAGATCAACGCCGGCGAACGGCCGGTGTGCTTCTCTCTGTTTTAGAGAGAAGCGAGAGAATTCTGAATTCTCTCAGAGAAGAGAGAGAGAGTAAATGAGAGAAATGAGAGCTGGCCCTTCGGGCCAGCCGGTTATGGGTTTAAATAGCCCTCCCCAAATGACGCCGTTTTGGGGAGGGGTTTGTTTGTAATTAAATAAAAGTTAAATCCTTTCCGCAGCCATCCTAATTTGTAAACTTTACATTTTAGTCACTAAATCAATTTATAATCCTTTTAATTCGGTTCTTTAATTTTAGTTTTATTTATTTTAGTCCTTTATATTAAAATAATATATTTAGGATAAATATCATATTTAGTCCTTTAATTTTAATAATTAATATTTTAATCCCGAGTATATATTTTTAATTTATTTTAATATGATATTCGAATTTTATATAGTTTTATTTTAGTCACCAAATTAATAAATAAGGAAAATAGCATGTTTAATCCCTAAAATTTTAAATAATTACGAATTAGGTATTTAATTTTATTAGATTATAATTTAGTCACTAATTTTAAATATTTTCATAAAGTTTTACTGCTTTTAAATATATAATTCTAATTTTATTTTTATCATTGATTATTTATGTTTTAATTGTACTTGTTTATATTTAAATATTATTTTATTATATAGTCATATAAATATATATAATAAATAATAATTTATATTAAATCTTAATTTGATTTTACA